AAGGAAATTCAAAGTAAGTCACAGTTTGACAAATTATTGTTATTATTGATAAGGGCTATCCACCTGTAACTATCTGTTAATGGCAAAAAACGTCATTTCCGCTGTGCCTTTTCATCAAGAAATTGTAGAAGAGAACTTTGTTGATATAAAAAATTTTCGTAATTTGAAGCAAAGATCGAAATTTTTCTTTTGGAATACTTAAGTATTCCAATATGCTTCCAATTAGACATGGAACCATTTCAAAATAATGCTTAATAATAAAGGTGAAATTCGATCTTCAACTGTTAATATCTTCTAGAAATTTAGGAAAAAAAAAATTTCAATATTTTTCTCGTACTCCCCAAGGGAGCCTCTATCAACCCTTAAAAGGAATGACGCCAATTTTGAATCACCCTGTATATATGTAATATTTATCCAAAATAATCAAAAACGTCCACTTTTGGGAGAGAAACCATGATCATACAAAACACTTTGTATTCAATGAAATTCACTCCATTGCACTTCAGTTTAGGGAAATACTGTTTGGCTCAAAGTAACTAAACTCCTGTTGTTACTACTAAAAGGTGGTTCGAAAAGCCTCGCTCGAAGGAGTCAAAGATCGGCTCTGAACAAATCCTGAATCACTACCGCGAATAAAGCTATGGTACTACATGTTGGTAACATAAAAATGTGACGTGGTGGCTATATTTGGATTGCTATTTCGTTATCGGGAGGCTAAACACATAGTAAAAATTCTATGTGGATCTGTGTTACATATACCTTGTAGATGTAGGCCAGTGTTTTTAAGAAGATGCAGGTCATTACGCTCGATAACGTGTATGAAAAGAAACAACTGATGAACGACGGTACCTACGTTCTATAATATTTATCGCAATGCATATCCTTCCGTTCGAAACGCGCTGACCACCTCTCATAAAACTCCAACGTAAAAATGATAAATGAGATGTCAGCGTGGAGACATTGATGGCTTACATTGATTAATTATCCTGGAAAATATCAGATAAAGTTTCTATTTTGGCCTTTTCTCCTAAACAACTTTCTATGGATTTCGTTTTATGAGATTCCTTTCCTCACAAAAAGTGCCTGTTATGTGGGGATACTGTTGAGTCACGGCTGTGCCATGTTCATTTTTTGCTCAAAGTCCACGAATGAATTAATACCTGGCTGATGTATTTGATATAGTTTAAGCGTCTAGGATAGTAGAAAACAGTGAATACCATTATAATGTAAACTCATCTCATCACAAGAACAAACATTTTTTTGGTTCCAAACTTAATCTTAATGAATATTAGCAACTGCCCCAAATAACAATATCTATTTAAAAATAAAAATGCTGTGGAGCAGTCCGTAGAATGCAAAATGTTCGTTTAAAGCCAATTGAAACATGAATATGAAAAACATTGCGCCAATAAAACGACCGAAAATGCATTTTATATGCAAAGTTTGACTATAACGTTTAATTTATGTAGGGCCGCACATTTTTAAAGCCTTTGAATGTTGTGTTTTGCTTTCCATAATGGGACTTGATCATTGTAATGGTAGAATGCACAATGGTTTTACTTCCCATGAAGTTTAAGTACTTCATTCGAAGATATTCGAATGCTGACTGTGAGTTTGCTTGCACTTAGATTTTCTGGCCTTTTATTTTTTTATCAATCAAATTGGTTTTATATACGTTTTAAAACTTTCGTTTAAAAATGTTCAGTATAAGTTAAGTATGTGAGTAACAAATCAACAATAAATCGTAAAAATTGGACCGTGGTAAATGGCAGATGCAAGGCAAAACAGTGCGCATTGCATCGACATTTTTCGTGTAATAAAATTTTATTTTTATACTACAAAACGTTATTTCACGTATTTTATGTGTTTTGGATGTCCACTTATTTTACAACGCTGAGTGCCCAAATCGATCATAGGTTATTCTACAAACATTTATTGTAGTAGTAGATTGTAATGGTGCTTACTTAAAAATAATAGTAGTCAATTTGCGGCTATAATAACTGAAATATCGGCGTCGATTTATTAGCTCCGGACCACGAAGCGACTCACTTTATCTACTTAATAGGAATAATGAAATTGCTTTATAAAATCTCAAGAGACTGTATTTTTCATTGCCATTAAGGATTCAATGACTGTATATCGCAAAATAAATCAGTTCTTAACATAAATACAAATATTCTGGGTTATGCGTAGTAAGCAACATAATTTCAAATTTCTACCAAGCAATTAAAACAGGAAATTCACTATGCAAGGATTTCACGGCCGTCGAAAATATCAGTGGAAWCTGGACGGAAAGTTAGTTAAAACTACAATTGTACAATGTGTACATCAATCCGGCYATGTCATATGAATAGGCGATTTGAAGCACAGCTTACAAATCGGTTTAAAACAGAATATAGACTTAAACTACACAGAAGAGCGGGCATAACGATACRGGAATAAGTTTCAAGAAGAATATTTTCTAATTCACGACAAGAGCAAACGAGCAAGACCAAGATATTGGACGTGAAGTATTTGGGAGCAAAAGGCAAAAGTTAGTAGTCTGTAGGTCGCCTGAACTTTTCTCCTCAGTATCTTAGCACAGTCGGGTCAAGTCAAAAGATATTCAGAAAGGAAGAGGGTTCAAATATACGAGGAAGCAGAAAAATCAATAAGAAGGAATACAAAAGAAGGGATTCAAACTCGAATTTTCAGGCGAAGCTAAACTGATGAGATCTAATG